GCAGATCTATGAGATGGAGAGCAACATTCGCATTTCTTTGGAATTGTTTGGAGTTTTTTGTCCACCTGAATACTTTAGTACAGTATTCATATGCTTTTTAGCTCCGTTTTGAACTCCTCCACCTCTTTAAAGATATATCTGGCTCACTAGCTGCTAAATTCTCCTCTAATTTCACCAACTAGTTTCTGTGTCAGTCTGCTGTTGGTTGCTTTAAACAGGGTTGATGAAAGGAAACTAAGTTGCGACTATAAAACCAAACAATTAGCTGAAAGACGCTAAAATGCTCTGATAAGCATAACTGAAAAGCATTTTCATTTAGTTTATAATTCTCTGTTGGTTCATTACTACAACTCTTTAACATTACACAGTCATTTAAGGAAATATTGATTCATATTGCATTAAAATGACACTTTACTCTAAGAAGCTGGCAGAAGGCTATACATGTCTACACCTGCAAGCTCACCAGTCTAGCAAGACATCTCTATTATTAACTATGACAGTGCATTAACTCCACAGACATTTGTCAATAAATCAGTACAGCTCATGTCGTTTGCACTGGCTTATCCGACTCAAAGATGCTCGATGTAGCAAATGAATATGCAAATTAGCCTATATGACATCATCTGGCACCTTCGAGCAACACTTATCGCTGCCTTCCCTCCAGCGGCAGCGACACAGATGCCGACATTACGTGTTTAACCTACCAGAACTAAAGTTAGCGGCAAAAATATTCCAAGCAACTTCAGGTGCCATTTGCACTCTGCTCAACGCATTAGAAATGGAGCAAGACATGGACCAGTACATTTGTTAAATGGAGGCACAAGTGTCTTTTGAACAAGTACATTAGGTACATTTTAGTATAGTAAAAAACTTAAAATATTGCAATTAAACGATTTAATGAACAGCAAATTATTTTAAAGTTGGTTCTCATCCCAGCCAGTTCTAATGTTTCACCTCTTGAACGCTGCATCATCTTCATGACCCTACATAACCTGTTCAGCATATATTGCTGCTGAGTACTTTCTGCTGCTTAAGCACATAAAGCAGTTTCTGCTGAAACATTAAGAACTTTGACAGACCTCCCGTTAGAGGGCAAGCCGCTGGATGTAGAAAGACCTTTAAATTCACTTTAACCAGCTTCCCATCCGACATCCGCTTTATAAATGTAAATGCCAACGTTCACTTTTATCAAGCTGGTGCGTAACATAAAGGCAGGATCTTTTCATGCGAAAATGCATAAATGAATGCTTTCTCTGGGAGCAGAATTGATTTGGTTGGTGTCGGCATCGTAGTGATTACTGACTGGAGGTCTTAGTCTAGCCTGCTTCTTATTTACCGCTACGTTAGTGGTGAGGCGCCGTTGCACCCCCACGCGCGCCTGACGGAAACACCGCAGCAGGCCTTCAAATCGGTGTGAAATTACATCAGCTCTGTGCTTTGAACTACATGTAAATTAAACTTGTCACAGTGCTGTTGGAAATGTCACCTGTCACCTCCATGTTTACCTTCTTGCAGCCTCGCTCGCAGGGCCTCACAAATACTCTTGTACTTCCACTTGACTTTGAGTGTTGTTTACCTGAGTGAGAATGCGGTGGAGACAATTGAATGTCACTAAAAGCGTTTCGACAGTTTGACTTCATGCGAAGCACGAAGGATTTCTGAAAAGCAAAAATATTTCTCTCAAGCATTCGGCTTCTGCTTTGATTTGATATCCTTTGAAGACAGATTTAAGACCTTTTCCCTCACATATTACATTATTATTAAAAGACAAAATAAATGTTGTTTTGTTCAAAAGACAGCATAATCTTTTGCTGAGTCACAAATTAAAGTTGGAATAATGTATGGAGAGGGACGGATAATTTTAACCTAACTATTCAATTCCCCTTAGCATTATGTGCGTTTTAGCTGCTTTTATCTTATTGTTTTGGAAATACATACAGTTCTCAACGTTTTTGATCCGTTTAGTGCTGCGCCACACTAATTGCACCGCATAAAAGCATAGGTGCGCCGCATTTGCGGCTCAGTTGAGGGTCCCTCCGCAAGATGAGGCCCCCTCCGCAAGATGAGGCCCCCTCCGTGAGGTGAGGCCCCATGCAGTCTGCGTGTTCGTCCTGTAGGGAGGGGCAGCCCTGTATCTTGTTAACTTTAGCTTTACGTGTGTTCGAGCATCTTTTAGCTCGTTGTCTTCGATTAAACAGTCCCCAACATTTATGTTGTAAAAACTCACTGCTCTTTCAAGCTACTGTTTTCAGTAGGAAAGGTCCAACAAACCCCTTGTACATGTCCTGTTACGGGTCTGTTCCCTAGGTAACTTGCAGAAATGTTGTGGAACAGGTAAATAATATAGAAATACGGACGGGCAGTAGGTGAAGTTCTAAACTGACATGAATACTTTCATACAGAATGCAAATAGCAAAAAAACAACATCCATTCATTTTCGCCAACAAGGTCGAATTTTTCAAACCTCAAATAAATCACATTACGTAGGCTGACTTTCACATAATGAATGTCTCATCAGAATGTTGTACAGAACTGGGGGTTTTAAATTGAGCCTATATTAAAGATTTTTTAAAGATAAAAAAAACAACAACAATAGGGTTTGTACTCCTAACCAAAAAAACAAACATCAATACTCTTCAATCCTTGAGAGGCATACCAGATTCACTCCCTCCTGTTTTTACTTTCACTTAGAGCATTACGCTAAAAGGAAACTGATTAAAACAGAGAACAATTTTAAATCCAATTATATGTTTCCAGAAGAATGAGCTGGCATAACTCTAACTTCTAATCTTTTATTGAAGAAGCGTTGCAACCGTTGCAAATTTGCCACTACCAGTAGTTTCTATGCAAGGAGAGGAGAGCAGATTTAAGCCGACTGTAACTGTCAGGGAGGAAGTTAGAGAATGATAACACTATTGATCCTTTCCTCTGTCTCTCAGACACACACGCACGAACACTTGGGAATAACGGCTCTAATCAATAATTCTATAGTGCTAACAGAAAGCTTCCACAGCAGTTTAAAGGCTTATTGCACACACACACTCGCAAAATCACTGAACACTCAACAACAGAACTGTGAGCCAAATATTGAGTCATTCAAACACATTCATGGCACCTGCGCTAATTTGAAAAACCGATAAATGGAAAATCAATCGTGCTGATTCACTCCGTAGGAACCTTTTTTTATGGCTTTTGCATTCATGTGACAAATTAAGACGACGACTGTTACTCCTGTTATTGTGCTGCAAAACTTTCAGCTACCGATTGCTAATCAAAGGGTGAAATGTGGACGTTTTATTCTCGTTTTATTGGTGAAAAATGAGCAACAGGGTTCACGAAAGCCTTTCATTTGGTGTCTTGTTCAATCTGCCGCTATTTGCTGTTTAAGCTGCAGAACACATCCAATAACTCATCTGAGCAGAACAAATACAGCGATGATAAGGTGCTGTAATCAGTCAGTCATTGTCTTCCTCTATCCCTCGTTACTCTCTAGGCCTCCCTCCATTTCTTATCATCAGTCTCCCCCTTTTTTCTCTCCCTCAGTCCTGTATCCAGTTTACAATTTTTCCTTCCAATGAATTCTCTCCGGAATAAATATGAGAGGAGTGAAGAACTCGACGGTGAGCGGGCGATAACGGAGCACCGTGGATGTGTGGGTGAAACAAAGTGAAAGAAAAGCACTCACGGCCATGAATGTACTTACTCTCTTCCTCACCCTCCACGAGGAAGCGTTGAAAGTAAAGTATATTTTAATTCCCTCCCTGTCCCCCTTGCTTTCTCCTTTTCTTGGTGCCATATGCTCAAAGCTCCATCTCGGGCTCATTTGGAGTGCTACACACACACAAACACACACATACGCGCACACACGGCAGCTCTATCAAAGCACAGGAACAGCTGGCTTGCTCGATATGGATGACTACCCGCCTGTCAAACTGTTTCAAACACACATACACACACATCATCAAGCCTGGTGTTTCTTGCTGTTTTTGAAAAGGAGAGTGAGTGAGAGATAGATAGAGGCAGAGGGAGGGAGGGGGGTTGCAGGTCAGAGTGTTAAGTGAGTGAGTCGGAGGCTTGTGGAGGAGTTTGGTATTGTCAGATTCATTTGACATTTCAATTAGAAGAACGTGTGAACATCCACAGTGATAACATTCATCACGTTCAGAACAGAGAGAGTTGCTTTAACTATCAAAACATGCAAACGTGCACGTTAACCTGCGAGGAGACAACGTGTTTTCACTCCCATCTGATGACACTTGGACAGATGTTACCTCACTGATTTGGCTGTGGCCACAAGTACAACACAGTGAAATTATGGACACTAACTTGTAACATTGAGAAATTATAAAAATGAATTATAAAATCTTGAATTAAATGCATTGAAGCTTCCGTAAAAATGTGTATTGGACCAAGGGAAATTGTAAAAAAATTAAAGATGTCCTTCAATTGTAATCTTGTAAAATTTAGTTTTTGGCAATAAACGTATTCAAGGTAACCGTTGTTTAAAATAAAATATTTAATAGATAAGCAAGAGAGACTTAAGTTAAACATAATTTGTGACCAAATTGTAGATAATGTAGGGCTGTGCAATTAATCGTATTTTAATCTCGATTACGATTTTGGCTTGCAACGATTACGAAAACAATGTAATCGAAATAAAACGATTATTATTTTTATTAAAAAAAAAAAAAAAATTTAATTTCTTTTTTTTTTATTGGTTTTTCTGTTGAATTATACTTAAAGTTCAGGGTAATCAACTGTTAAAAACATACTGTTCAACATTTTTTTTTTCAATATATGGATGTTTTCAAAGTAAATGGATAATCGTTTTTAATAATCGTGATATCAATTATTGACCAAAATAATCGTGATTATGATTTTTGCCATAATCGCACAGCCCTAAGATAATGTGATCTGTACTTGAACTTCTCAACTCGTGTTAAAAACAACATACCTTACTGAACAATGTGAAATGGATAGTGATGGTGTATGACTCTTACCTCCCCTGTGTGGCCGAGACTCAGTTTTGGCAGTTTATTCTTGGCGTTCCCAGAGTTTCCTCCGTAAGCCTGACCGTTGTTAAAGTCCTCTGTGGCCACTAGAGGGGGTTTGAGCTGGGGGGAGTCACTGGGCGCCTGGTCCTGGCCATCCATTGGTCGAACGTACGCTGTGGGCTTCTGCTGGATTGCGATGGGCTTCCCTGATAGGCTACCAGGTGGGAAGGTGGGGGTGGTCAGTCCAGATGTGGGCGTGGTTAGACCGGGAGTGGGCGTGGTCAGAACTGATGTTGAAGCCAGCGGCGAGGAGCAAGTAGACAGGTGAGAACCCGTCACGTTTTCAAACGGGGAGGATTTAAAATGTCCATCATTTTCTGTGTTAGTGGAAGACTTAAAATGGCCACCGTCCATGGTGGAGGATCGAAAATTGCCACCATCTATAAAAGAGAAGGGGAGACGAAGAAGAACATTGAGAAATAACCATAGCAACACCTGTTATTGTAGAATGTTGCCCCGCTCTGTCAGAATCTGATCACAGTTGAGTGCCAAAAAAATCCCATCTCCCAGATGGATGGAGCCAGTCACAATCAAAGCAAATTATGGGTTGCTGAAAGATGTGGTTACCATCAGATGCAGATGTTAATTTTGAGAAACCCCCCCACAAAAGGTGATAGAGTTTGTTTTGCACCAAATATATTTTGCTGAAATTATTCATCGGCAACAAATACACTGATTCATATCCAAATATAAGAAGTCCTCTTTTTTTTGTGCGAATGGTATCATCCATATTCTGAGATATTCCCAATACTACTGTACTATGTGGAATAAATACACCAGTGTTTCCCACAGAATTTGATTCTATTTGTGGGGGCACCGCACCCCCCGGCAAGAAAAGGCCCCTTAACCTATTCGGGTGGCCCACGCATCCACCCCCCCCTCAAATAAGAAAATACATGCGTTCATGGCTACTGTAGACAACGTTCTTGTTGCTCTGTGTTGCGTTGTTAATGAGTGAGACACACCGGAGTTGAGGATCTGTGGGGTTTATTCTCCCAAAAATATTATTTACAATTTAGGCATTTAGCAGACACCTTATTCCAAAGCAACTTACAATGACCAATTACAGGGACATTCTCCCTGGAGTAACTGAGGGCTAAGTGCCTTACTCAAGGGCACACTAGTGGTGTTCCAGGCGGGATTTGAACTCGCAACCTTCCGATCATCAGCCCACCTCACTATCCATTAGACCACCAAAATTTAAATTACAAATTTAAATTAAATTTAAAATTATTATTATTTTATTTTATTTTATGAGATCCATTTGTGGCGGACGATATTTAATTGTGGCGGCCCGCCACAAATAAATCAATGTATGGGAAACACTGTAACACTGTATATTCAGTTATTCTCAATGAGAGATGAAAAGATAGATACCATAATTGTTTCTGTGCGCTAAATGTCAAGCTATAGGTATTTTATTAGCTTATGCCCAGTGGCGGAGAGGGCCTAAGATATTCTAGAAAATAATATTTAAAAACATTAAAAAATATATATATATTAATATTACATATTTGTTTTGTTATATTTTTCATTAGTTTTACCAAAATAACTTGATTTAATTGTATTTAAAATAACAATTCCAAATAAATAAATCCTTCGAATCTGCCTATTCAGTTTCTGTTTGAATGTGAAGGTTTAAATGAAAGAAGCTCGTGTCTGCGAGTTACTGTGAAGACAGGAGCTGATTGGTGGTCCTGCTGTAAATTCACAGAGGGCCAGCTATAGTAACTGAACGAGAGAGTAATGTCAAATGACAGTACAATTGACCAATCATATCTTCCCTCTAAATGGGTGGGTTTTATTATCGCAGACTTTATGGCAAGTTCCGCCCACTGTGAAGCTATTCTTGTTTCCATAGCAACAACAACTTCCTGTCAACAGCGTAAACTCGCCTTCAAAATAAAAGCATGCCAAATTACACTTAAGACATACAACTGCAACGAAAGTAACAAACACAATGCAATATCCTTTTCAATTTCAAAGAACACAAATTGGGTTATTTACAGGTGTTGTTTTGTGTGGTAGAGGGTCGCTTTCATTGATGCGTTTTGCACCCCGGGCCGTTGTTTTGATATTCCGCTGAAGTATACGCTGTGACGTAATAACTCTTTTTTTTTTCGAGGGAAGGGGTGGGGGTCAGAGGGCCTAGGTATAAAACTCACGGCTCGCCACTGCTTATGCCACGTCATGTCCTGTAGTTTAGATTGTAATCATGAAGACAGAGGGAAAACATTTTGATGATGGCGAACTTCAGAGATGGAGACATTGGAAAAAAATAGTTAGCAAAACGGCTGCAAATCCAAAATCACTAATAAAAGTGAGTATTAGTCTTTTAAGAGAGCTTTACAACCATTGTATCTGAGATTTTCCAAATGTTTCTTTCCCATTCTGCCAACATTGAATGATTGCAGCGTTAGCCTAGCATAAAAGATTGAAAGCAGAGGCAAACACCCAGCCTGGCTCCATCCAAAAGATCCATCAGCACCAATTTGAGATATAAAGTGTTAAGTACTTACATTTTAGAAATGCTCTTTTTTTTTTTACAATGGTCCGAAACAAGCTTTCTGTTCAACCCTGCTTTCCAATGTTATGCTAAGCTAACCGGCTACTGGCTCTAGCTTCACATTAACGTTTGCAGAAAAAGGTTTCCTTAAATGTCAACCTATTTCTCTAAAGCCTTTCTCTGTAGGACTTACCTGGGAGAGGAAGAGTTTTGGAGGGATGTGAAGGGTGTCTTCTCCTAGAAGAAGACGAGGAAGAGGAGGACGAGGAGGAAGAAGAAGGGCTAGAGTCCCCTTTAAGACCAAGTTCATCTTTTAGTGAGCTGAACAGCTCTTCATGCCTTTGCAGTTGCTGTTCCTCTAATAAAGAAATGTTCCCTCTTCCACTGGTTGCTGTGGTGACCTGGCCCTGCCCCTTCTGCGCTAACCCCAGAACGAGGCCCGCTCCCTGGGTGCTCTGTCCGTGTTTCGACCAGTCCATAGAACTTCGGGACTTTTTCGAATTCTGATGTGGGATTGTTGTGGAGCTTGTTGACGATGTGGTCGAAGCAGGGGGTTGCATGGAAGTTGACGATGAGGTGGAAGCATTTCCCATCCTCTTGTCCCCACCTCCACCTCCATCTCCTCCTCCTCCAGCTGTTCCTCCTCTCAGGGCTTCGTTGAAGAGCTGGGGCTCCATGGTGGGCCTCTCCGTCGTTGAAGTGGTCGGGGTCTGTGGGTTGTTGCTGCCTTTGGGGATTCCCACCAAGTGGCTCTGGTTCGAATGGCTGGTTAAAAGGTCTTTCATTTCTTCGTAGGAGCCCAGCGTGTTCTGGACGCGATTGGCCAACGCATCACCTTTATTGGTCTAAAAGAGAAAAGAAAAAGACAAGAGGGAGGAGAGGAGAAGAAGCGTATTAATTAAGTCTTCCATTTCCTTCAGCTTGATGAAAAGCCCTCTTTATTCATCCGGAGAGGAACGGCAAGAGACGGATAGGGTGACCACTGACCAGACTTCAGGACGAGATGATTAATTAAACACATGCCACCCTTAAGAGGGTCCCGTCCAGGCTGCAGCAGTAAAATTAATGGGGCAGGAATCATTATTAGCCTGACCCCACATTCTCAAGCAATCAAGGCTTGGAGGACAGCGGAGGCCTTACTGATATATGACGGTGTAGCACCTTCAGCTGCTACGTGCTAATGCGGAGATGTTCCTCAGAATAGCTCGAGGGAACCTTTTGTGTCAGAATTGACGGCTTCTTCAATTATGAAAACTTTGGCTTTTTGAAAAGGACAAGGGCAATCAGCAGGGGTTTCAGTCGATCTATATTTGGAACCAGATTCATGGAAGAGGAGGAAAAAGTCTAGATTCCTATCAAGCACGCTGACATTACTTTTCTACCTGAGTGACAAATTGTGAAGCAAATATTAATCATCGGGCCAAGTCTGAATAATGCAAGATCTACAGGCTGTAATTTAATTTTGACATTTCATCATGAATGAGATGAATGATGAACACCGGAAACACTGAATGAGATCAATGTGAGGAGTGGCATTGTAATTTAATTGAACATTATACTTTTTGAGGTTTGATCAATAGATCTGGCAATAATAGCAAAGTATTTGACAACCTGTGCTCTGCTAATAACCCCTGCAGTAACATGGAGTGACTGTCAGATAAAGCTACAATAGGTTTAGAGGATGAAACGAGAACAAGTGAATGAGACTGTTTATCTACTTCTCAAGACAGGGCGAAATTGCCTGTATTTGGAGAGGTTAACGAATTCATGAATTATGAATGTATGTTCATTTGAAGAGCTTTATAATTCTTAGATCATTTTCCTGAAAAGAGCATCAAGTTACATTTAAAAGAATGAATATTGCCCACACTGATTAGCAAACGTAACACCAATCATGCAGATCTGTTATAGGCTGTCATGGTTGAAATACTGATAAACTACATTTATTTCAGAAAGGGAAGAGAGGACAATAATTCTACTGTTCCATTTTCCAGGTCCAGAGTACATTTTCGACCTAACTTTGTTTCTTTTGTTAAACTGGAAAAATAAGTTCTGGAAGTTTACAAAGAATGTAATTGATTGTGTACTAGAAGAAATACAACTTACCTGGATATAACGGTTTTTAGTCTTATACAAATATGGGGTAGTAGTAGTGCACTACTCTAGTGCCTAAAAAATCTTTTCCAGAAAAATAATTTTAGCAAAACTCTTTTCCCAACTGTTATAAAGATTTTCAAAAATTCCCTAATGAATTATTCAACATATTTGTGTGAATGTTAGTGGATTAAGAATGTCTTAAGTCTAAGACAGCCCTAGTCTCTGGTGTACCACTGTACTGTCTGGTGGTCTTGTTTTATGCAGCAGTGTGTAATACTATTGCCAAAGCAAATGTCCCCTCTTGGATGATAAAGAACATCTTATCTTATCTTATCCATCAACTAAGTGATTAATGGACTAATAATTTCAGCTCTACACTAAAGCCCTACCCATATCCGATGGAATTCCTTGGGGTTTAAGTGATCTAACCCTCAATATAAATGTTACATTCACTGCGTTTGTGGAACATAATGGTGGGTTGCGTCCCCCTTAAATGTACTCACACAATCCTAAGGATTATCTAGTGGCTGGGAAATAATTTGTACCGCTCAAGGGCTGCTTTTAACAAGCAAAATCAATAGCCAGATGAGTCTCCTAAATTTAGACTCAATATGCTTTAAAATGCTCTTTATAATACGTTTCACTGCACAATGTCTAAGCTAAGTTCCTCAATAAGTAAGAAAAGCCAATTATAGATGGCATCAATGTCATCAGATGAGCTCTTTGTTTGACTAAATATGGTACATAATCTTGGGTACACAAATGTATGTACATGTGAGCAGCATTCCCCTCTGGTTCTAGGTCTATGTCTTATTTTTTACACTCTGAAAAAGCAGGAAAAACACCCAAAAAACGAAACAGGGGCAAAAATACCAAGCCTTATTTCAAAAGAATCATACAAGAAAGGAGAGAATTGCTTTCAAATAATCTTAACAGATGTAATTTCTGTGTGTACCCACACACACACAAACGCTCCACACCGTGGCGAGCCAAAGTTAGCTGTGAATAAATTAGCTCATCTCTTCTCCATCTCGGGCTCATGAATAAAAGATCTGGTGGCTGAAGAGGAACAGAAAACACATTTACAGAGAGGCAAAATGGAAAACAGAGGAGAGGATGAATACCTATGTGTGTGCATGATTGTGTGTGTGTGAGTGTGTGTGAATAGATCATCCCAAATAGCTGCTAACAGCATAACGCTCTTTAACAGGATTAGAAGAGGGATTAGCTAATAGCTGACAGAGAGAATGAATACTGGAGAGCGAGAGAAAGACACTAAACAGTCAGAGTGATGGACACATCATAGATATACAGGTACAGACAGAAGTTTTTTTTATTAAAAAAAGGCAAAGAGAACGATAACAGTTCTATGTGATAATGAGAAAAAGCAGCTCAGTAAATGTCCCCTTACTTAAAGGGGACCTATCATGCAAAATGCACTTTTGTACGTCTTTTATACATGAATATGTGTCCCCGGTGTTCCAGGGAACTCACCAAGTGTCAGAAAACACAACCCTCTCTATTTTCCTCCATACCCAAATCTCTAAAAAAGGGGCTGCAACGGATCTGATAAAAACTGATCCAGATTTGAACACTGTCCTGACGTCAGGACGGTGGCGCTACGGCTATTGGGCCAACTCCACCAATCAGGAGGAGACAGCCACGGCCATTGTCGTTCGAAAGCGCTGGAGACGCTGTAGTACATATGCCAGGCCAGTAGATGGTGCTGTTCTCACAGAATCAGCCCTTGCAACTAAAGAGCTAAACAATGTCAAATTGAGCAAAATGAGGCATGGCTAAAATGCATGATCTCTGTTTGGTATTTTGAAAAAAAAAAGTATAAATATGCCTTATATAGGTATGGTCCTACACTATATTATTCAAATATAGCATGATAGGTCCACTTTAAAGGTGCTGGTATGTGAAAGAATGCAAAATGCCAAAAGGGATGGATAAGCAAAACAATTGTTGTTGTTTTTTTTACAGTTGGATTAGGCATAATCGAGTACTAAGCGTTACTTTTATTCTTAGTGACTTTGGATTTGAAGTGGAACTGAATGATATTCCAAAAAAAACGTGATCGTTAACTTTTGACCCTGTCACACTTTTATAACAGAAAGTGAGATTGAAGATTTAAGGATGGAACAAACGGTCATTATCATTTAATGTGCATAGTTTCTATATTAATCGATTAAAAATGTCTATAAAATATCAGAAAATAATCAAATAAAGTATATCCAGGTTTCTAAGGGGCATGGTGATGTCTTTTAAAGTTTAGTTTACGAGTCCAAAATCCAGTAGGTTTTCATATTATTGTACGAGAAGTTACTTTAAAAACTCTATAATTACGCAAATGGTGGATTTCTTCCCATACACTATTCTATGAATGGACTCATCATTAAAGCTTTATTTAACAAATTATAAGAAATTATAAACAGATTTAACAAAAATAAATGTTTGCGTCTGTGCTTAATCTTTTACAGCAACAGATACTGTAAATGTTATCGAGCCCTAAAGTGAGTTTTATGTACCTTTTTCCACATGGTCCTATAAATAATATTCTCTACTTTACCACCATAACCTCACTAATGGATGTGCGAGCAAGATGAAACACACCTGGTATTTGACATTAAAATGTTTTGCTAAAAGAATCCCTGTAGGCCCCTCAAAACAGACGCCACAATGCATCATCCCCTCGAGAGTTATCTAAATCAGGGGTTCCCAAAGTGGGGGTCGCGAGACCCCGAGTGGGGGTCGCAAGATTATAAAAAAATAATAATATGAATTAATTATTTTAATTAATAATAACGTGTGCATAGACATTTTTCAGGGGTGGACTGGCCATCTGTAGAATTTCCCCGCAGCGAGGCTCCCCCCGTTGATAATCCACTAGCGCAGTGTTTCTCAAACTTTTTCATACCAAGGACCAATTAACCAATAAAAAAACACTCACGGACCGCCTAACTCCACAAACATCCAAAAACAATAGGCCTGTTTACCATTCCAACAGTATATAACAAATTACAGCCTAATAATGACAGCTTAACCTTCTCTACATCGCCTCGTTCACACAATAAATCAACAATACAAATACAACTACAGATTATATAAGCATTTAGTTCAAATGCGATTTAAAATGCTCTCAGGTTTTACACCTCTTATGAAATGTAGACTACATTTATTACGGAGTTTATGTCCGAGCCAACAGACTCACAGATCGTTGGCTACTGAGAGATATGCAAACACACCGCATGTAGTACGACACAAACCTCCGCTGTGGATTTTCAAAACAAAATCCAGTAAAACTATGGTCGCATGGGCCTGCATGGTCTGCCTACAAAGCAAAAATAAAAAACATTTATGCAGCCCCAACAACAGCCTCTGATCATCAACAGACTTCATGCAATGCTTCATTGGATGCATATATTAGATAATAATCTCTATCTCACTCCTAAAACATCTAAATCTACTTTCAGCATGGATAAATGTTCATAAAATACATCCATTGTTTGTTCTATATGCTTCTTGAAATCCTAAAAAACACATCGTTTTTCTAGAACAGATTACAAATTGCCTGAAAAAACAAGTGGCAACATGTGTGACGAAGGTGTTGCGCTGGGCTATATCATGCAATCGAAAGTGAAACTTAAGCTCGCTCCATTGCGGAGATATTCCCGCGAGAGTGCGGAAAACTTAAATAAATAAATGTATTCACTAGCACCCCCCCTCCGTTGACAGGGGTCGCCAGTCTCTGGTACTGTTATTTTGGGGGTCGCGGGCTGAAAAGTTTGGGAACCCTTGATCGAAATAGCAGCAGCAGAGTGTGAAACATCCTCATCCTCACTCTCCTCACCCAAACAAACACATACCCTGACCCGACCTCGGCACCATTAATTAGCTGCAAACAATTAGTTGGAGTGTGGATGCACCTCTGAATAGATTCATTATGAGAACAACCTCTCATGTGCTTCCGAACTTCGAGCAGAAGCCCCCCCCCCCCCCCCCCCCCCCCCCCCGTGTCCTCTGCGTTCAGACAGTTAAACACATTCTGTCAACATTCAAAGCCCGCCCGTCCCAAGGTCGATACTCTCGGCGGCATAACCGAGCGCTGAAGTGCCTGGCGCTAGCAAATGAGAGTTAACAAACCTAAATCAATTTTAACCAACAGGGGCGGGTGATTGGCCCTGGACTTTATGCATGGCTGCTTCACATTCGGATAAAGAAGAACCAAAATGATGGCGTCTTGGGTACCTCAGAGACGGAACAGACCACAACCTTATGCTGGAGGTTATTACAGTATCGGCCTCAGGGGGAGGATGAGGAAACAATAGCCTGGGATGATCCAGAGGCCATCATCAGCTTATCACCCGCAGCATTAGAGGGCATTATGGTACAAATAAAATGTTCGGATAATTGTTTGTTAGTAATAACCTTTCAATTGATTGCTTGCAGAAGGCAAAATTGTTTGATATGAGCCTAAATCACAAAGCTGGTGAGAGGAGAACAGCCCATCCTGGATGATTAAGAAGTCGTAAATTTACTCCATTTCCCCAAATGAAATTCTGGTGTCAGGTATGTCCATTCTACTCCCGCAGAGATCAATCAAAACTTAACAGCAAAGTATAAAACTGCCTCCTAAACAGCGACAGGAGAGCACTCTGCGCGGGGGAAGCAGCACTCCGTGTGAAGATGACGTTAGCTTACAGGATCGCTCTGTGCTAAAGTCCTTACATTTGAACTGATGGACAGTTACTGTTTGTTACTGTTTGCTTGACATTTGTAAAATTGGTTGTTGAAGTTTAAGCTGGAGAGTGAGACTACCACGTATTTGAAAGTCTTTCATGTTCAAGCCCTTGCCAAATTAGTTTACAAAATGCTGATTAAGGCCCATTTCGAACTTACTCGGGTATTCTTGAAAAAAGGGTTCTCCTCCCTTGTTCCAACAGAAAATCTGGTCCCCAAGCGTTTTTTAAGGAAAATCCACATGAAAACACGAAAATGAAGTACCATCAAGGCCAGGGGTCAGGTGGGCCACAAAGCAACACGTGCACCGACACACAAACAAATGCACATACAAACAGAACAAGCTACCTTTGCGAGGGGTTGGTGTCGTGCTTTTTCGTTAGTGATATAAAATAAAGCTTAAAAACTCAATACATTTAGCTTTATTTTTATTTTTTGTTTGTTTTCAAACCAGAAAAGCAATATTGTTCAATTTGTGTTGTATTAAAGGATTTAGTTTTTATTAAGTTTCGGTTTCACTTTCATTGCTGATTTTGGTCATAGTTACAGTTTCAGGTTCAGAATAATAACGCTGTTACGAGGGGATTTAAATTACGAGAGGAGAAGAGATTTGGCTGAAAAGCAATAAGTATTTGCAGCTATGATTATTACTGGGTTGGTAAAGGGTTAAACATTACCCACATACTGTACGTGAAAGGTTAAAATGACATCACCTCCCCAAGATCAATACATCCAGTTGAAATGGGGCTTAAGAATGAACGCAGGGGAAAACAAGCTAATGTGCACGTGGTTCACTCCGCAGTTTAAAAATATGCCAACCAAACAAGCTAAATAATGAAATGCTTTACTTCAGTTTTTAAGCCATAAAAGGTACCAAAAAAAGCCAATTTGTGGCTTTATATGCTTTAGGATTAGCATGCTGATAACATTTCTTGACAAATTCCACTCTCTATTTAAGCTACTTTAACCACATCCCAGATCCCTTCACACATGGACATGAGATTGGTATTAATCATCTAATGCTCGGAAAGAAAGCATATAGGCATATTTCCCAAAATGTTGAAGTATAACTATATAATCAAGGAATTATTATTACATTACATGTCACTTGTTAGATGCTTTTATCCAAAGCGACTTACATACTCAATACTGTGGGCAATCCCCACAGGAGCAATTTGGGGTGAAGTGTCTTGCCCAGGGACACAACGACATGCTGACTGCAGTGGGGTTTGAACCTGTGACCCCCTGATCCCAACACCAAGGCTCTATCCACTGCGCCACACGCTGCCAAATTGTCTACTTATGAAGTATCCAGGAAGGAATCCCTCTTACTTTATAAGGTTCTCCGAACAGGTTGAATCCGGTGGAGAACAGGTCTTCATCCTGTTGGACCTCCTGGTTCCTCCTCTCCCACTCCCTCCTCTTCAGGGCGCTGCGGTCTGACTCCAGATGACTGGAAGAACACAAAGAGGAAATCTTGTTAGCGACTCCCGCTGAGTCCCACACATCGCCCCACACATCGCCCGCCACCAATCAGACCCACTGGTTTTTAATGAGGACTGCTAACAAGTCATTTTTGGATGTACAAAGAGCATTGGCTGAAAGTCTTCGCCTGCTGTGTGATTAGAAGAGCTGTGTTGCTCCTAAAGGGAAATAACAGGGTAAATCATGTCGGTCTGAAAGAACGCATCAAATTAAATATAAACAACAGAGAGAGAACAATGAGAGAAAAACAGTTTCAGTTTCCGACGGAGAGAAAATATATTTTTCTGTAAAACAAGAATCCAACAGAGGATAAGTAACACAGATAGAACTATCAAAAAATGTGATTTATTCAACTACTATCCTGATAATCTCTTCCCTATTAAACTCATCAACGAGGTGACCTAAGTGTGTGTACTGACAGTTTCAGAGAATATATGCAAAGTTTTCTGTCTCTTCGAATCAGCTCTGCCCCGAGTTGAAGCTGTTATTTTTACTCTGGACTTTTGAAGGAACTCCAGCAGTGTAACATTTGATTTGTAAAGGCTGCTTGAGCTTCAAACTCCCATAAAGTGCTTATCCCGTGCCACTACAGACCCTCATGTCAACCGGAACGTTCTAAAAGCCTTTGCCATTAGCTTTTGCCTTGTATCTGTATCTGCAGGAGACAGTTTGAGTCAAAAATAAATGATTTGTTTTTTCAAAACAAGATCAAACAAAGGTTAATATACTAGAAAGTTCACAAAGAACTTTATAAAGGTAGTTTGGTTTGAAGTTGGTCTTTCTAGTGTAGTATTTATTTACCAGATCAATACTACACTCAAGTCTGTGTGTGTGGTATGCAGCTGGAGCAAGGAGCCAACTAGCTTCATTTAGCTCAGCATAGCTTGTAATCTAACTCTCTGAAAGATACCTAATAAGTATATTTCTAAGATTCTTCATGTTTCTTTTTAACAGCCTGTGTAATATTAATGAAAGGCAATAAGAATGAAAACAGCTAAACAGGTCCACCACTAAATAATGGAATTAAATGACTCTTTATTTACACTCAGAGGGGAACAGACGCACACTTTAATGCCCGTGCTCTTTAACAACGGAATAAATGGTCTGTTCCTACAACATTAGCCAGAGTTCACAAAGGCAACCTTTTTTAGAGTTTTTTCTATTCATAATAAGGTCAACATGATGTAACATATGCCATTAGCTGGGTACTTTCATTCATGAGTGCATTCATTTTTAACGTAGGTGGGCCCGGTGGGAATTGCAGTCCTAATCCAGGCAGTGTTTATGACGTGCAGTACCCACTGAACCACGGTGCACGGCAAAGGACGGACGCATTTATGTCCTGTCACAGCGTCATTGGATGGATCCCAATAAAATGTGCTTTTAATCTTTCAGCATCACTACACTACCGCTATGAACTACGGTCATCTGTCTTGAAAGGCAGAATGATTGCTTTTGTGGGTATGATTCCAGAGTGTTTCTTGTGGCATTTAAAATAAGAGACAGTAAACAACGACAACAATGATTGGAAAGTGGTCTTTGAGGAGGGTGGTGAGCCCCAGGTTTTTGGAACATTTTCCTGTTACGTAAATGTGTATTTTTAGCGCGGAGAAAAACGAAACCTGTTCACCGTTTCACCCTGGCCTCCTAAACTCTCTCAGCCTCCAGTGAGAAATCTAAGAGCTGGCAGCACAACTCGCATCCCAGAAGTACAAAGTGTAGTGTGAGCATGTGTGTCAGTGAGTGTGAGTGCAAGTTATGCATGAGGCTGTGGCCCACCGACCCTGCAAAGGGCATCCTGTTTTACCGCATCCACTGCCGAGAGATGAGACTGGCCAGCTAATTAGCGATCAAACACAATTAAAAGAGACTTTCTTTTTTTCTCTACCAGACCTAGTCTTCAACATTTAATCTGTCAGCAAGATGCGTGTGGGAGGGAGAGGAAAGAGAGGAAATATAAAATCACATAGACCCATGGGAGGCTGAAAAAAAGACCCAGTTTCAGGGCAACAGACAGTTTCTTTTTAAGGAAAGAAAAATAACAGAATGATGAAAGACAGAGTGGAAGGATGCGGAGAGGAAGGTAGAATAGGAGGAACGGAAATTGAAAGCAAGACAGAGCAGAGGGATTCATGATTGACAGGTAAGCATTTGTGTGCGTGTGCTACAGCAATATACATAGATGTGAAAATGGTGTGTGCTGGGACTGCTGGTTGACATGTGCATTGTCTTTCAGTGCAGAAAGATAACGAACAGCGATGTTACTACAACACACACACACACACACACATATACAGTTCACACATGGCGCTGCAGTCCCCTGCCACAGATCAGTGTCTCTGTTTGTCACTAGACGTTCACACGGAGGGAATCAGGTCAGACGAGGTAATTAACACATCCAGGATTTATTTTGCAGCGTGCAGCAGGAACAGAGTCCAACACTACCTGGCTGTCACACACAGGTTAAACCCTGCGCTGTCTTTTTACACATCAATGAATTTACTACTTTTTTTAGGGTTTATCAACCACAGCCCTGTGGTCAGGCAGGGCAGTGGGAATGCTACGGAGGCTTTGTCTAAAGGTTTTTGAGGTACAAAAATTGATTTGGATTTTTTGGAGTGGGGTTGTATGAGGTTCTTATCCACTGAACTGCCGCTGTTATCTTTGTTCTCTTCCAAGCCAACAGACTCCTTTGACAAAAAAGGTAATTTACCCTGTGCAGCACAGTAGTTGCTCTACTGCTCCCTAGATCAGTTAGTAGGTTTTTTATAAATTGTGTGACTTGAACTGGAGAATTCAAACTCACCCAAAGTCACACAATAACACAAACTTAACACCCCATAGAGGCAGCTGTAGACCCCTTTGTTCTGCAAGGGAAAACAATGCTTTTTTCACAGCTCCAATTAACTGTGTAAATGTTAAGATTGTTTTTGGAACATTTTAGTAAATTATGCAATCTGGATTCAGATCAAAGCACAGTACTGTGACTGCCAGTCTGAAAGTCTTAGACGATATTAAGGCTGCTTTGGATACAAAATCTGTTTGTGTTGCATTATTTATTGACTTAGTCAAAGCATTTGACACTGTAGATCACCACATTGTCTAATGTTATGTTGGTGTCTCGTTTCGGTCATAATGCCATTTGCTGGTTTCAGAGTTATCTAACCGACCGTACTCAATGCGTCAGGTTGGGTAGTACTGTCTCTGACCCTGTCACCTTGGAGAAGGGAGTTCCACAGGGCTCTATTTTGGGGCCCTTGCTCTTTTTATTATATGTAAACAATATTTGTAATCAGATGCAATTTTCTACCTATCATATGTATGCTGATGACACTATTTTATATTCATGTGCTCCTTCTCTGGACATGGCCGTTTCCAATTTAAAATCTGATTTTATCACGCTGCAGCATGCGCTTCTTGATTCCAAACTGCTATTGAACAGTAAGAAAACCAAAGCAATGCTTCTTGCTCCCAAGTCAGCGTCCTCTTGCCTCTCCATTGACACCCTTGATGGCGTCTCTGTTGAGTTTGTCGATACCTACAAATATCTGGGCTTTTGGTTGGACAGTAATCTGAACTTTACACCACATTGAAGTTCTAACTAAGAAATTGAAATTCACTCTTGGCTTCCTTTACAGACTTAAACGTTGTTTTTCAACTTCATCCCGTAAAAGGTTGGTCTCTGGCTTATTCCTGTCCCAGCTGGACTACGGTGATACCATTTATAGATTTGCCTGTCCCACTGTTTTGGCCAAACTTGACCCACTCTACCATGCTGCACTGCGTTATATATCAAATGCACCCTATAGGACTCATCATTGCAAACTGTATAGCCTAACTGGATGGTCCTCACTTACTATGCGTAGGATGCAGCATTGGTTTTTATTAATGTATAAAGTCATTTTAGGTAAGCTTCCACTGTATATATGTGCCAGATTTGCCCCAGTTTGCGACTCTTACAACCTCAGATCCAGTGCCTGGATACGGTTCCAGGTTCCTGCCGTGCGGACTGAGGCTGGAAAAAGGAGTCTTTTTTATTATGGTCCTTGGTCTTGGAATGACCTTCAATCAAGCCTAAAACTGAGGGCACTTGTCTCAATAGCATGTTTTAAATTGAAGTTGTCTGAGGTCCTCACCACCAGCTGCTTTTGCAGTAATAAGTAGTGTACCTTTCTTACTGTCCTAATGTGCACAATGTAGTGACTGCTTTTTCGTCTTTTGTTTTCTTAGTTATGTTCTCTGTATTTTATATGTTTGTGTTATGTGTTATGTGTAATATTGCTGCCTTCTTGGCCAGGTCAGCATTGTAAATGAGATGTTATCTCAATGCTTTTTTATCTGATTAAATAAAGGTTAAATAAAAAAATTAATTCTAAATTTTGTAAGATTTTAGAATGTTTCTTTTAACCTGACAATGCATACATTTTAACAGCCAAAAGCAATACATGAATTTGAAGGTGGAAAAAGTACTCAGATCTTGTACTTAAGTAAAAGTAGAACTACCACAGAATAGGAATACTCTGTTACAAGTAAAAGTACAATGGTTTAAGCATCAAAATATACTTAAAGTACCAAAAGTAAAAGTATTGGCCCACTTTCTTATAATATATTCTATATGTGTGTTTTGTGTTCACATCAAAGCTGGTTAACCTGGAGCTAACTTTAATACATTTGTATACTGCAGGGTAGCTTATGAATTTACTCCAGCCAGTGTTTCCGCCAGGGGGGGGCGTCTTGCCGTCATTTGACGGCCTTATTCAGCTCGGAACACCCTGAATTCGAGCCGAGGGCGTCCAAAACAAAAGAGTTCTTATCGCTTGAAATGACGAAAAGGAAAAAGGACAAGGACATCCCTCTGTTGGAGGGACAAAGGAGCCTGGTGGGATTCTTTTCGGAGTATTGAAGATCGTTTCCCCGACATCGGCCTCTTTTCAGCTTTTCGTATCTTGGACCCACGGTGCCTGCCACAGGACAACACGGAACGTGCGCGATTTGGACGCGATGAGCGGTGGAGCACGCACGGGAACTGCGAGCGCCGGAGCCTCGCAGCGGCGAAACTGCTCACTAAAAGAGCCTTAATTCCCATCACTGACGTAAAGAGATATCATCTATAAGGGACGGCTCAATTACAAATTCAAATGTAATATACAATTGTTATTTAAATGTGAAATACAGCTACGTTTGTAGTCTAGTACTCCTACTGCAAGCTAGCTGCTCGCATATCACTATTCTGTTAGCATTAAATTATTATTTCCCGCTATCAGAGAGCTATTTATTTATAGCTTGATGGACTCACCATTGTGCAGGTGCCACTCTTTCAGTCGACAGGCTTCAGTTAGCTTGGCCTCTCTAGCAGCCATGCTTTTAACACAGTATGTGCTGTTACGAGTCATGTTTGACGATGTCATGTTGAGTTTTTACTCTTTTATCAAAGTTCAGCAACAGCTTCACTCCAGTGTCCCCTCGTCGCGACTGACTAGCGTGCGCTGACTAGCCTGCCTACGGTGCTGCGGGACCTGCGCTCTGATTGGCTGGGGCACTTCCATATTATTAACCCTTAGTTGCCAGGTTATAAATAATACACGTGGTGCCAAGCAACG